TCCAACAGGACTCGACACCATCGCACTCAGCACGTGCCACCCAAGAATGGTTACAAAATGAAGTTTCTCGCTTCATTTCCAGTGCACAATGGCGACCAAAATCTCCGGACACCAATCCGTTGGACTGTTGTGTCTGAAGTATTTTGGAAAGCAAGGTTGGCACTAAAACATATCAAAGTGTCGATCACCCCAAGCAAGCGCTTCGCCGGAAATGTGCGAAAATACCGCAGAGCAACATTCGGGCAGAGTGTGACGGTTTCATTGGCCGTTTGAAGGCCATAATTCTTGCCAAAGCTGACCAATTCGAACAAATCTAAACTTATTCTAAAATTTGTTGCTATTTCCGACCTTTTTTGCTTTCATTCATTAAAAAAAATTCAAAAATTAAAAAAAAATAAAAATTATGGCGTTTGACTTTGTTGCAGTTTTTTTTACCTCACCCTGGAAATATTCGATTTTCTTCAAATTTTGCACATACGAATATATTTAGCTGTATTAGATGTAATATGAAAACGGAATACTTCGGTCTTTCACTTTTTCCCAAAATTTGCACATATCTCTGTAATGTATAGGGAGTAGTCGATATGGTCCAAATCTGGCACGTTGTAATATTTATACCAGTTTTAGGTCAGATACTCAATCAGTATTGCCCAACTGCTTCGGAACCTCCCGAGTCAACAGTTTGAATAATCATAACTCAAGGTTGGGGTATCCATCTGTCGGTAAAACCGACTGATACTATTTTAGATCGATTTGTACAAAGTTCAAAGTTCTTGCCCATGACAGTAGTAATTGAATTGTATTTCCAATTATTTTATTTGAAACTTCAATTACATCAAAAATGTGATTTGATTTATTGTTTTCTTTTTCAAAACTTTCTTGTAGTTGAAGTTCCCTACATGTACTGTCATATTCTCCCTTTTGATAAGAACAGAATTTATTTCAAATGAGTCAACCGGTACACACGTTTGTTTGTTTTAATTCATAAACAAACCCCCCCCCCGCAACATTTTATTTATTTACGATGCTTGTTACAACCACTTAAAATATTAAAATATTGTTATCTCAGGTCTCCCCAAAAACTTTAACCAGATGTCTAGTTTTTTTTCCGATAAAAAAAATGAAAGTCGAAAAAAAAAACGAAACATACGTTTTGTTTAACCGATAAGATCTGAGACGAGCCTTTTTTTTCAAAATTACAATCAATAAATTGTGTATCGACATAAGAGTACCACTGTGATAAGTTTTGAAATTTTTTTTTGTATCGATACTGCTGAACAGGAAGGCTTAGTGTTTTGCAAAAAAAATTCAAGGCAACAGACAAGGTGTCTACCCTGGGGAAATGATTAATTTGGAAATATTTATAGTAATTAGATTTTTAAAACTAAACGCTTGAGCTCTTGGCGACATTATTTCCACTTTGCGTGCCAATTCTTATCGGATTGATAACAACGCAACAATCTGACTTCCTATTGTAACTATGCAACTTGAATGCAGTTCCAGTTAGCTACTTTTCCGATATGATACCGGCGATTGGTGTCAATAATGTTTTGCTGATAACGCAATAACTTCCCAAAACGCAATTGATATTAGGCTGTATAGCTTCAGCTTTCTTTTGTTATTTTTGAGAAAAGAGGAATTCTTAAGGATCGCCATCTTGATATTGAAATTTTGAAAAAGAGTAGTTTTCGGAAGAATATGAAATGAAGGATATACTTGTTGGTATGTCGAAAAGAATGATTTATACCGGTCTAGCATAATTTAGTGCAGCAATTGAAATACAGGACTAGGAAGTAAATATTTTCCCTCTATTGAGCTCTAAATAGGCCGAAAATTTTTTATATCCTCAGCCATATAGGGTGAGATAAAAAAAATCTGCAACAAAGTCAAACGCCATAATTTGTACTTTTTTTTTAAATTGTATTGAATGAAAGCAAAATATGTCGGAAATAGCATCAAATTTTAAAATAAGTTTAGATTTGTTCGAATTGGTCACCTTTCGCACGAATTGTGCGCTTCAAACGGCCAATGAAACCGTCACTCGCTGACCGAATGTTGTTCTGCGGTATTTTAACCCATTCCTGGTGAAGCGCTTGCTTGAGGTGATCGACACTTGGGTATTTTTATACCCTCCACCTTGGAAAGGAGGGTATATTAACTTTGTCATTCCGTTTGTAACATCCCTAAATATTCGTTTTAAACCCCATAAAGTATATATATTCATAATCAGCATAAAATTCTAAGTCGATTTAACGATGTCCGTCTGTCTGTCTGTCTGTCTGTCTGTCCGTCTGTCTGTTGAAATCACGATACAGCCCACATTATTTGACGTAGAGCTCCAAAATTTAGCAGAGCTATTTGCATTGTGTCAAGGATGGTTGGTATTGAAAATGAGATATATCGGTCCACGTTCTGGTATAGTCCCCATATAACGGTACCTCCCGATATTCGGTATTTTGATGATTTATGCCACATTTTTTCACGGATTTGTCTTAAAATTTGTATTTGTAGGTCATAGTGGGTCCCTGAGCGTGTGGCAAAACATTGCATGTATAGGTCCACGTTGTGGTATAGCCCCCATATAAAGGTACCTCCCGATATTTAGTATTTTAGTTTTTTTACCACATTTTTTCACGGATTTGTCTGAAAATCGGTATTTGTTGGTCATAATGGGTTCCAGCTCCGGTGGCGAAACATTGTAATTATAGGTCCACGTTTTGGTATAGCCCCCATATAACGGTACTTCCCGATATTCGGTAATTTGATGATTTTTGCCACATTTTTTCAGGGATTTGTTCGAAAATTGGTATTTGTTGGTCATAATTGGTTCCAGCTTCGGTGGCGAAACATTGCATGCATGGGTCCATGATTTGATATAGCCCCCATATAACGGTACCTCCCGATATTCGGTATTTTGATGGTTTTTGCCACATTTTTTCACTGATTTGTCTAAAAATTGGTATTTATGGGTCATAATGGGTTCCAGCTCCGGTGGCGAAACATTGTAATTATAGGTCCACGTTTTGGTATAGCCCCCATATAACGGTACCTCCCCATAATCGGCATTTTAATGGTTTTTGCCACATTTCTTCTAATGTTTCTTTTACCCTAAGGTGGAGGGTATTAAAAGTTTGGCCCGGCCGAACTTAATGTTTTTTTACTTGTTTTTGTTCTGACCTTGCTTTCCAAAACGCTCCAGACACAATAGTCCAACGGATTGGTATCCGGATATTTTTGTGGCCATTGTGCGCTGGAAATGAAGCGAGGAACCTCATGTTGTAATCATTCTAGAGTGGCGCATACTGAATGCGATGGTGCTGAGTCCTGTTGAAATGTCCAAGGTCTCCGGCCAAAATGTTTGCGTGCCCAAGGCTTTAATACACCCTCCAGTATATTTTCGCGATAATATTCGCCACTTATTCTGATGCCACGATCGATTAATAGGAGCGGAGAGCGACCATCGGCTGTTGTGGCGGCCCATACCATCACCATGGCCGGCGATTGAGTTCTGGTGGTCAACCGAAGGTCAACATTTTTAGCTGACCTCCTTGGCAAGTAAACACGATCATTTTGTTTGTTTACAAACTGCAGAACAACGGATGTTTTCTCATCGGAGAAAACCAAATTCGGCAGTTCTCCACTTTCGCCAAACGAACCAACTCTTTAGCTCTTTTGAATCTACTTTCTTTCCGTTGCGGTGTAGGTTCTTGCACTTTTTGGAATTTCAATGGCTTTACCCCAAGCTAATTTTTCAATATTTGTCGAATGGAATATTGCGATACGTTTAGCTCACGAGCCATTTTTGGCCACTGCGACGTGGGTTCCGATCAAGTCGCTTCTTTACTTTTCGAACCTTTTCTGCTGATGTTGCTGTTTTCTTGCGTCCACTTCCTTTTCGTCCTGGCTACGCTACCAGTATCACGGTAACGAGCGATGGTACGAGACACAAAAGATTTATTCACATTTAAATGATGGAGTTCTCTAACGATAGCCACTTGTTGTTTTCCAGCCAAATATGAAGAAATCACACTATAACGCTTGAATTCCATCACGAAAAAATTCTGAAAAATTCTCACCAAAATGCTTTTTTACGCTTGTCAACACTGGAATAATTTTAACAGCTGTCGGACGAGTGGCTTAGAAATGACAGCAGTCTGAAGTTGGTTGTAGTTTTTTCATCTCACCCTGTATATTTATTCTTGATCATCATGGAATTCTTTGCCGATTTAGCGATGTCTGTCCGTCTTTGGAAATCACTCTTCCTTCCGAAAGAAATGAAGTAGGCTGATCAAATGTTACTCAAATGTTTTTAGGTCTGCCAGACTTTTGGTATTAAAAATGAGCTAAGCAGGTCGGTGTTTTTGGTATAGCCTCCATATAACTCTACCGCCAGATTTAAGGTGTTTTGATTTCTTATTCACACTTTAAACCCACATTTTGCAGTAAATTGCCAGTTTGTATTCCAAGCATGTAGGAAACAAGTTTTTATATAAATCCCTCAGTACAAGGACCAAACGACCGATTTTTTCATCGAAAAAAAAAAATTAATTAATAAAAAATAAAAATAAATCGCAGGCCTGATTATGGATTTTTTATCAACAAAATTCTTTAAGTACTGAGGACCGAATTTTTTTTGTCAGTTCTGGGGATCGAGAAAGAGGAGAAAAAAAAAATGTTCTTCAGTGCTCAGGACCCACTTTCTTTTAATAGAAAAAATGCCCTTAAGGATAAGGACTGAGTTTTTTTACAGAAAAATTCCCTGTGACTGATCACCATTTTTTTGCTATGGAAAAAATTTACGCTCGGGACCATTGCAAAAAATCTTTTTCAGTTTTTTATTGAGAAAAATGTAATCAGTCCTGGTGGTGGGTTTTTTCTATAGAAAAAAATTCCCTTAGTCCCGAGCATCAATTTTTTCTATAGACAAACACTTTTTCGATTTTTTCTATTGGCAATTTTTTTTTTTTTTTGTAGGAAAATTCCTCGTTGTCTATCCTCACCTCTCATAATTTTTGAAAAACTGCATCGTCAGAACACATTGATTCAAAATAAATCCACAGAGATTTTCATTCAATTCCTTTTGTATTTTCGTCTCCAGTTGACGATTGAATTCTTCGCGACGAAAATCGTAACGCACTCGTACCTCGGCAATCGCACCCGCACCCGATGCTGATTCATCACTTCCCCGAAGTCGAATTTTTGGTTGTCTAAACGATTCCTCTTTCGAGAGGCGACCACGTCCCGTCGAAGCCGAACCGCTGCTGTTGCGTTTTTTCTTTTTCAAAAGTTTTCGCTGACGTTTGGCCTGTTTCTTTTGCAGGCGAGCGATTTGTTTGCGTTGTTTTTCTTGTTGCTTGCGGGAGCGTTCTCTTTGCGTTTCTTTGTATTGTAACTCCTGCAGGGGATTATTTGGTTTTGTCAAAAATTTCGAACTAGAACGACCCATAATTTTGTGTTTTATTTTTTCCTCTCACTTTCTCAAATATATATATTTTTTTTGTTTCGGTTCTTTTGCTTCGCACACGCACAACTCTGAACGGACAATTAAAAACTAAGCACCAGCCAGAAATGAAAATAGATCGGTACTCTGATTGCTATCAATCATATCTTGACTATCTTGTGGACCTCCCCTTACACAACTTTTCACACTTACCCGGCTGGCTGGTTGGCTGGCTGCAGTCAGGAAACCTTTTACCCATTCGCTTGTGATTCCCCTACCCGTTTCTCTCCCTCAATCACATTTATTTCTTATCGATATTTTTTAAACATTTTTTATTTCTCATTTCTTTTTTTTTTTTTTTAATATAAAAATTGAATTGAAACAGAAAAAAGAAGTATTGAAAACATATTTTTTTAATGTGTTATCTGATGGTAGTTGTTCTGATTGATTGATTACATGTCCCTTCTGTGTCCGTCCACATTGGCAAGGAATTTTGCCCTGGAACATTTCAATTGTTCTGCTTTTCACAGAGAAAGCCCTGTTGTTTACATTGACTTTTTATGGGCCGTTCGAATCCCAGTTATTGTAAACTTGACAAAGAATATTCTTGGAAGGAAAAAAGAAGAGATATTGATAAACCTTGAAAGATAATTGAACTTGATTCTATGCTCTGTCAATACAGTTCAAAATCAATATTGAAAACCATAAATCCAAACGGAGTGGCTGAGAATTTATTTATTGTTCCCATATTGCCAACATTTATTATTTTTTGTAGAAAAAAAATATTTTTTTTTCTGAGAAAAAAAAAATCAGCCCTCAGTAAGTATTTCAAAAGCGATCCTCAGTAACACTGAAAAAGAAAAAATGGAGGACGTTTTCTATTTTTTCGGGTGTATATAAAATATAATAATCATACCTCAGGTGTGAGGGTTATTTTTTTGCCGACAGATTTATACCTTCAGCCTTGATTTATGATTATTCAAGCTGTTGGCCCTTTATGGGGGAGGTTCCCATGCAGTTGACTAATATTGACCAATTCGTATCTGGACTAAGGCTGATAAATATATTACAACGGGCCAGATTTGGACTGTATATCGACTACTTCCTACACTTTATATGACATATGTCGAAATTTTTGGAAAATGTGGAAATATGCATAATTTAACAGATATAGCGGACCGAAAAAATATTGGCATGGGCAAAATTTGAAGGAAATCGGATATTTATATCCAATTTTATGCAAAATTATAAATTCCGATAAATTCCATATTCATCTCAAATTTCTGGTTAAGATAAATATTTAGATACAGCAAGTTGTAAAGAAACGCAGACTTGTTTCGCAAGTTATGACAGATAAAAGTATTGGAAATTGGTACCAGAAAGGGTTGACAGATATATATCATCTTCACAACAGAACTTGTATTAGCAAAAATATTTGGATGTGTGAATTTTGAAGAGAGTTGCATGCTTCTTTCGCATTTTTACGGGGTTTAGTATTTTAAAATCTTGAAACCTATGTGAAGGAGGTACCAGAAGTAATGGTCCGATCTACACCATCTTTATAACAGATCTTATGTTGATCGAAATATTGAGATATACCAAGTGTGAATGGGGTCAGATGTTAATTTCGCGTCTAATGAGCTTCAAGGATACTCAAAAATTTGACCCTTTGTGGGGGAGGTACCAGAGGGAGTGAACGAAAAATGCCCAATTTCACACCATACCTAGGGTTAATAAAAATATTGTAATGTGTGTAATTTAAAGAGAACCGGTTGCTTATATCGGATTTCATGATCGTTTTGGTTTTTCAAAACTTTGACCCTTTGTGGGAGAGGTACAACATATCTAGTGTTGAAGAAAATATTGAGATGTGCCAAGATTGAATCAAATCGGATGTTAATTTCGTGTTTTCTGAATTCTCGAAATTTTGACCCTTTTTGGGGGGAGGTACCAAAAGGAGTAGACTGATACATTCCATCTTCACACCATACATTGAATTAATCAAAATATTTTGATGTGTGCAATTTAAAGAGAACCGGATACTTATTTCGGATTTTGATGTTCGTTTTGGTTATTCAAAATTTTAACCCTTTGTGGGGGAGGTACCAGAAGGAATTATCCGATCTTTACTATATTTTTTAACAGATCTTATGCTTATGGAAATATTGAGATTTACCAAGTTTGAATGAAATCGGATGTTAATTTCGTATGTTATGAGCTTCATGAATATTCAAAATTTGGACCCTTTGTGGGGGATTTACCGGAAAGAGTGAACCCGATATATTCCATCTTCACACCAGACCTTGGGTTAACAAAAATATTGTAATGTGTGTAATTTGAAGAGAATCGGACTCTTACATCAAAATTTTGATCGTTTTTGGGGGGAGGTACTTGATGAAGTGGACCGATATTGTCCATTTTCGCACCTGACCTAGCACTTATGCAAATATTAGGATTCGTAAAGTTGGAGCAAAATCGGATTATCCTTTCTGTTTCTGTTCAATTTCAAAATCACCTCATATCTTAAACACAGACATCCACAGTGACATCTAAGCCAAATTTCAGGATTTCAACTCTACTACTTCAACCAATACCAAATATAGTACCAGTTAGTACTTTTCGTGCAATTATAATACTCATTTCCAAAACCATCTCCATATCTCAATTCCAGATACCAATTTCAGAATTCCAGGCTTATCCCTTCACCTAATACCGAAGTTAGTACCCTTTAGTACTTTTCGTACAATTATAGCACATACTTCCGAAACCACCTCCATATCCTAATAACAGACATTAACAGTGACATCTATATCAAATTTCAGGATTTCAGTTCTATTCTTTCGCCCAATTCCAAATGTAGTGCCATTTGGCACTTTTGGAACAAATACAGTACGCATTTTCAAAACAATCTCTATATCTCAATTTCAGATAGCAACAGTGACCCTAATATCAAATTTCAAGATTCCAGCCCTATTCCTTCATTCAATACCAAATTTGGTACCATTTCATACTTGTCGTACAAATATACGACGCATTTCCAATACCACCTTCATATCTCAAATCCGGATACCATCAGTAAACTAAATATCAAAAACTCAGAATGTTATCTCTATGCTTTCATCCAATACCAAATATAGTACTATTTTTCACTTTTTGTACAATTGTGGTACACATTTCCGAAACCACTTCCATATGTCTAAACTAAACATGAACAGCGACCCTAATACTAAATTTCAGATTTAAAGCACTAACTGTTCACCCAATATCGAATTGTGCTAAATATAGTACTATTTAGTACGTTTCGTGTACTTGTAGTGCATAGTTGCAAAACCACCTCGTTATCACAAACCTACCACCAACAGAGATTCCAATTCAAAATTTCAATATTCCATCTTCATCCGTCCACTCTAAACCAAATTGAGTACCATTTAGTACAGTTGGCACACTTGGTACAGTTTCCAAAACCACCTTCATATATCAAATCCACTTTCCATCCTTGATTCTCATACCAAATTTCGAGATTTTAGCTCTGGCGGTTCACATAATGGTAAAATAGTACCATTGTAGAAGTTTAGTGCCATTTTGGAACTTTTCGGGGTCTAAAAGTTCGAATTTCCAAAAACCAATTGGTTCATCTATTCTGTACTCGAGTAGTGACTCTCATTCCAACTTTCAGAATTCTAGCTAATTCTGTTTGCCCAATACAATGCATTTTGGTACGAATTTCCAAAAATCCTTATCACAACCCTACGGACCAAGACTGACCCTCGTGGAAAATTTCAAGATTCTATCTTCAGCCGTTTCGTTTGGACGTTGTTTCTTAGTCAGACAGACAGTCAGTCAGTCGGTTATTTCACTACTCATTTATGTTGAAATTTCTGTCAACCAGGCATTCGATGGGAATATGGAATTTATAGCCCACTACCTCCCCATCAAAGGGTTGAAATTTTGATTCTCATAAAATTCGAAACAATTTTCGATTTTCCTTAAATTTTGGACATCCTAATATTTTTGCAGTTTTAGATGATTTTTTAAATTTTCACGCCCTTGAAATGTTGTCTTAATTCTTTCCCTCTCTCTCCCATTCCAGGTTGAATGTGTCCAATGGACTTTCGACAAGAATGTAACGGACGATCTGAATGGAGAACTGATGCATTTGGCTGAGTTCTTATCGCAGAAACAATTCGACATGATTATCAATTTGCCCATGAGGGGTGGCGGGGCCAGAAGGTAAGAAAACAAAGTAATACCTCTTCAGATAAACCATTACTAACCTACCCTTTTGTTGTTATCTCTTCATCCACAGAGTATCCAGTTTTATGACTCATGGTTATCGCACCCGCCGTTTGGCTGTTGACTATTCCATTCCCCTGGTGACGGATGTTAAGTGTACCAAACTTTTGGTGGAATCAATGCGTGTCACTGGACGTAAGCCGGCCATGAAAACACACACGGATTGTACGACATCCCGGCGCATGGTCACATTGCCTGGCTTCATTGATGTCCACACCCATTTGCGGGAGCCGGGTGCAACGCATAAGGAGGACTTTGCCAGTGGTACAGCGGCAGCTTTGGCTGGTGGTGTTACCATGGTCTGTGCCATGCCCAATACCAATCCATCAGTAGTGGATCGTAATACCTTTACTTTATTCCAAGAGCTGGCCAAGGCTGGGGCACGCTGTGATTATGCCCTGTTTGTTGGAGCCTCGGACAGTAATTGGCAACATGTCAATGAACTGGCTGCCCAGGCTGCCGGTTTGAAAATGTATTTGAATGACACCTTCAGTACTCTGAAAATGACCGACATGACCATTTGGGAGAAGCATATGCAAAACTGGCCCAAGAGGGCTCCAATTGTTTGCCATGCCGAGAAACAGACAATGGCTGCTGTTATCCTTATGGCCCATTTGATGGATCGTGCGGTGCACATTTGCCACTTGGCCCGCAAGGAAGAGATTATGATTGTCCGAGCCGCCAAGGAGAAGGGTATGCGGGTAACCTGTGAAGTGTGTCCCCATCACCTGTTCCTCTCCACCAATGATATTGGTAACATTGGTGCAGGACGGGCTGAAGTACGTCCCGTTCTTTGCTCTGCCGAAGATCAAAAGGCACTGTGGGATAATTTGGAATACATTGATGTTTTTGCCACCGACCATGCTCCCCACACTTGGGAGGAAAAGAATTCCGAAAATCCACCACCCGGTTTCCCTGGTTTGGAAACAATTCTACCTCTTATATTGCAGGCAGTGGATGAGGGTCGCCTGACATTGGATGACATTAAAAATAAATTCTATCGCAACCCCAAGAGAATTTTCAGTTTGCCAGAACAACCCAATACCTATGTTGAGGTGGATTTGGATGAGGAATGGATTATCTCCAAGGACTGCATGCATTCCAAGGCCAAGTGGACACCATTCCAGGGCAAGAAGGTCAAGGGTAAGGTTCACCGTGTGGTGCTGCGCGGTGAGGTGGCCTTTATTGATGGTGAGGTATTGGTCCAACCTGGTTTTGGCCAGAATGTACGCAGCCAATACAATCTTAAGCCAATGGATCCATTGGAAATCAGGACATCCTATGATAATTTGGAAGCCATCAAGGTATTGGATCGCAGTGCTGAATTCGTAACCGATTCCCAGACAAATGAAGCATTTACGAAATTGCTATCCGAAACTCCTTCCAAGGTCCATTTCTCCGGAGATCCAAATTTCTTGCGGCCCATTTCACCATTGCCTCGTGTGCGTTGTGATTCGGCCAGCAATGCCACGCTCAAGGAGTTGATACAAAGGACCTCATCGGCAAGCGCCCCCATTTCACCGGTGGCACCCACCTTGTTGGGACGTCATGTTCTCTCTGTGGATATGTTTAGCAAGGAGCAGTTGAATGATATTTTCAATTTGGCCCAAATTCTCAAGAGTCGTGTTGTCAAGGATCGCCCGGTCGATGATTTGTTAAAGGGCAAGATTATGGCCTCCGTTTTCTATGAAGTTAGTACAAGGACTTCGTGCAGTTTTGCAGCTGCCATGCAGCGTTTGGGTGGCCGTGTCATTTACATGGATCAGACCAGTTCTTCGGTGAAGAAGGGAGAAACTTTGGAGGATAGTATTGCTGTGATGGCAGGATATTCAGATGTGTTGGTCCTGAGACATCCAGAACCTGGGGCAGTGGCGGTAAGTGGAAATCTCTCTCCCTCTTTAAGTGAATGATATATTAATAAGAAAATCTCTTTTCCAGCGTGCTGCCCAACATTCCCGCAAACCCCTGATAAATGCCGGTGATGGTGTTGGCGAACATCCAACTCAAGCCTTGCTGGACATTTTCACAATACGTGAGGAGATTGGTACAGTGAATGGTTTGACCATAACCATGGTTGGTGATTTGAAACATGGCCGCACTGTCCATTCCTTGGCCCGTCTGCTGACGCTGTACAATGTCACCATACAATATGTTAGCCCCGATAACCTTGGCATGCCAGATCACATCATACGTTATTTGAATTCGAAGGGTATTAGCCAGAAAACAATGCAGAGTTTGGAGGAAGCTCTTCCCACCACAGATGTCCTATATATGACACGTATACAGAAGGAACGTTTCGCCAGCGAGGAGGAATATGAAAACGTAAGGGAAAATAAGATAATAGGTTCAATATCTGAGAGACCTCTTTACATAAGAGCACTTATTAATGAAAGAAGATTCTATAGAAAAAAGTCGCAGTCAGTCCTAAGATTAAAAAAATCGACCTAGTCTTGACCTGAACTGAGAACTGAGACTTTTTTCCATAGAAAAAAATATCCTCTGTCCAAATTCCATGGGACCTATTTTTTTCTAAATCGAAAAATCGTCGTTCCCCAGGGACTGATTTTTTCTCTATAGAAAATAATTCGACAGTGCCCAGGTACTGATTTTTTCTTTATAGAAAAATTTGACAGGCCAGTGGACCAAGTTTTTTCTATAGAAAAAAATTCGGCAGGCCAGTGGACCAAGTTTTTTCTATAGAAAAAAATTCGGCAGGCCAGTGGACCAAGTTTTTTCTATAGAAAAAAATTCGCCAGGCCAGTGGACCAAGTTTTTTCTATAGAAAAAAATTCGACAGGCCAGTGGACCAAGTTTTTTCTATAGAAAAAAATTCGACAGGCCAGTGGACCAAGTTTTTTCTATAGAAAAAAATTCGACAGGCCAGTGGACCAAGTTTTTTCTATAGAAAAAAATTCGACAGGCCAGTGGACCAAGTTTTTTCTATAGAAAAAAATTCGACAGGCCAGTGGACCAAGTTTTTTCTATAGAAAAAAATTCGACAGGCCAGTGGACTAAGTTTTTTCTATAGAAAAAAATTCGACAGGCCAGTGGACTAAGTTTTTTCTATAGAAAAAAATTCGACAGGCCAGTGGACTAAGTTTTTTCTATAGAAAAAAATTCGACAGGCCAGTGGACTAAGTTTTTTCTATAGAAAAAAATTCGACAGGCCAGTGGACTAAGTTTTTTCTATAGAAAAAAATTCGACAGGCCAGTGGACTAAGTTTTTTCTATAGAAAAAAATTCGACAGGCCAGTGGACTAAGTTTTTTCTATAGAAAAAAATTCGACAGGCCAGTGGACTAAGTTTTTTCTATAGAAAAAAATTCGACAGGCCAGTGGACTAAGTTTTTTCTATAGAAAAAAATTCGACAGGCCAGTGGACTAAGTTTTTTCTATAGAAAAAAAATCGACAGGCCAGTGGACTAAGTTTTTTCTATAGAAAAAAATTCGACAGGCCAACGGACTAAGTTTTTTTCTATAGAAAAAAATTCGACAGGCCAACGGACTAAGTTTTTTCTATAGAAAAAAATTCGACGGGCCAACGGACTAAGTTTTTTCTATAGAAAAAAATTCCAAAGGCCAGTGGACCAAGTTTTTTCTATAGAAAAAAATTCGACAGGCCAGTGGACCAAGTTTTTTCTATAGAAAAAAATTCGACAGGCCAGTGGACCAAGTTTTTTCTATAGAAAAAAATTCGACAGGCCAGTGGACCAAGTTTTTTCTATAGAAAAAAATTCGACAGGCCAGTGGACCAAGTTTTTTCTATAGAAAAAAATTCGACGGGCCAGAGGACCAAGTTTTTTCTATAGAAAAAAATTCGACAGGCCAGTGGACCAAGTTTTTTCTATAGAAAAAAATTCGACAGGCCAGTGGACCAAGTTTTTTCTATAGAAAAAAATTCGACAGGCCAGTGGACCAAGTTTTTTCTATAGAAAAAAAAAATCGAAAGGCCAACGGACTAGAGAACTGATTATTTTCTTTAGAAAAAAATCGCCAGTCCCCAGGGGACTGAATTTTTTCTATAGAAAAAAAATCGCCAGTCCCCAAAGGACTGAATTTTTTCTATAGAAAAAAAATCGCCAGTCCCCAAAGGACTGAATTTTTTCTATAGAAAAAAATCGCCAGTCCCCAGAGGACTGAATTTTTTCTATAGAAAAAAATCGCCAGTCCCCAGAGGACTGAATTTTTTCTATTGAAAAAAATCACCAGTCCCCAGAGGACTGAATTTTTTCTATTGAAAAAAATCACCAGTCCCCAGAGGACTGAATTTTTTCTATTGAAAAAAATCACCAGTCCCCAGAGGACTGAATTTTTTCTATTGAAAAAAATCACCAGTCCCCAGAGGACTGAATTTTTTCTATAGAAAAAAATCACCAGTCCCCAGAGGACTGAATTTTTTCCATAGAAAAAAATCACCAGTCCCCAGAGGACTGCATTTTTTCTATAGAAAAAAAAAATCGCCAGTCCCCAGAGGAATGATTTTTTTCTATCGAAAAAAAAATCGCCAGTCCCCAGAGGAATGATTTTTTTCTATAGAAAAAAAATCGCCAGTCCACAGAGGAATGATTTTTTTCTATCGAAAAAAAAAATCGCCAGTCCCCAGAGGAATGATTTTTTTCTATAGAAAAAATTCTTCAGTACCCAGAGGACTGATTTTTTTCTTTAGGAAAAATTTTGTCTGTACACAGAGGACTGAAGTTTTTCTATAAAAAAAAAGTCGCCAGTACCCAGAGGACTGATTTTTTTTTTCTATAGAAAAAACATTCGTCAGTCCCCAGTGGACCTATTTTTGTTCTAAAGAAGAAGCATTCGTCAGTCCCCAGAGGACTGATTTTTTCATTGGTTCCTTTTTTTTCCAGATGTCCAATTTTTTATATTAATTTAATTTTGATTTATTTTCCCTCTTTCCTCTCTTGCAGTGCTGCGGCAAATTCATTGTCACACCCAAATTGATGACCCGTGCCAGCCGCCGTACCATTGTCATGCATCCCTTGCCCAGAGTATTTGAGATTAGCAAAGATTTCGATTCCGACCCCAGAGCGGCATACTTCCGTCAAGCTGAATATGGAATGTATATTCGTATGGCCCTCTTGGCCATGGTTTGTGGTTGTCGTAACTGATATGAAATGCAAAATCAAATAGATTTTTAACTGGAAAATCTGGCGGATATTGAATTTCCGTTGACTCATGACAAATAGCAACAACAACAACACTAAGCACTTTAAAAGTACAAGTGTTGAAGAAGCAGACAAAGCATTTGTTATTTTTATATTTACACACATAATTTACATATATATACATATATTTGTTATGCCTAACTATAGATATAAGATATATATTGAAATGTTCTATATTGTATTTGATACGTATAACATATCTTTTTAACGTTTTTTTAAATAAAAACTGGAAATAAAATGAATGTCTTGTTATTTGGCTTGGCAATTTGTGGGGTAAACGTAATTGCCTGAAAGTATGCTCTGAATTTTGTCACATTTAATTTTACGGTATGATAATGTGGGTACAGTGCTTTAGGTAAATTGCACAGTACTTCATGGTTATTTGTACAGTACTTTTGGTGTGTCCCCTTGCTGCCGATTCTGTTTGCCTGGTATTTCAGTGAATTTGGAAATTCGACCTGCCAAAATTTTTGAAATCTAAAAAATTGAATTTTTGAGCGCTGTTTTCGATAGAATGGGGGTAGATGGCTTAGATTTGTTAAATTCTTCCATTTGGGCCCCTCGAAATGGTTTCGAAAGGCGTTTCCGGCTACTAAAACGGGGAATGCCAATGGGTCTAGAATGTGTCCATTATTATTTCAAAAATGTCCAATCCTAGAAAATTTTACAAAATTCTAAATCCCAAATATTTAAAAGAAATATTTTAATATTTTTTTTATAAATTTCTATTTTATTGTTTGCTTTTCTTGTGCAGTTTTCTTAATTAAAATAATAATATTTTCTGATGTGTGTGGTTAGTATTTTTTTTACAACCAAATATCATATAGGTTTAGTGTGCACCATTAAAATTACAAGTGTTATTTATATTTAAATATTAAAAAATAATAATAACAAATATACTTTTGTTGTTTCCTTTTTTTGTAACATGCGGTTCCTGTTTTAGGGCCACAACAATCCTTAAATCTAAAGACGAAATCATCATCAGACGTCAACCTGCAATCGCCTTCCGTGTTCCGTTCAGTCTTCTCGTTTACATATTTTCAATATTTTTTTTGATTTTATATAAATTGTCACCAAAAACCATAAAAAAGAGAAATGCAACAAAAATTGCACTTCCTTTTTTAGATTCTGTGCTCCAGCATTAGCCTGTCATATTTTACAAATACTCCTTTTTCCTTCTCCTCCTCCTCCTAATTTTAATAACGTTCAATTTCAATGGTTGTCTCATGCTGTGTCTTCTCCACCTCATCCTGCCAATGGGTACGTTTGGGTTTCTTTGCCCCATCCAAACTACCCTGTAGACTGAGTTCACTACCCTCAAAGGCCTTATTGAGATTACTTTGTAGATTTCCACATTTGTGTATAATGGGAGAGGAAGCGGAACGTCCTGTTTTGCAGATGGCTCCCTTGCCATCACATTCATAAATTGTGGCAATCGATGAACATTTGCTTTGGCCATCCAGTATTAAAACGCCCTCACTTAGGGTCGATGATCGTTTACGCGAGGCGCCACTTGTGGAACCAGTTTCAGAACATTTATCACATTCGTGTTTCCTGAAATAACAGAGAGAGAGAGAGAGAGAGAGAGAGAGAGAGAGAGTTAATTAGAAACATGTTTATAGAGTGAATGACTTATTTGGTATTGAACTTACTTATTGGATTTCTTACAGGCCACCAAAAATATCAATACGGTTAGTATGACCACAGCTGCCAGGACTCCTGAGAGCCCCGCAATCATGGTCATCATTTCATGGGGTTCGCCATCCGAAGTCACTTTGGTAACTGAAAAGGAAATAAATAAAAAATTTGAATTAATTGAACAATATTACAGAATATCTATATATATAAGAGTAGTGAAATAACTGACTGAGAAAAAATGGTCAGGTCAGTCTTGATGCGTACTAAAGGTTACGAAAAGCATTAAAAAATATTCAAAATATAATAATTTGTATTGGACAAACGGAATGAGCTGGAATTCCGTAATTTGAAATAAAAGGTAGATGTAACATAGCGGTTTTGAAATTCGAACTTAAAAGTTACGAAAAGTTCAAAAATGGTACTAAACTTCTAAAATAGTACCATTTGCTAGTATGTGAACGAAGAGAGCTAAGAACTTGAAATTCGGTATGAAAATCAAGGTTGGAAAATAAGTATAAGATATACGTGAAGGTGGTTTCGGAGATGTGTACTAAGAGTGCGAACTGTAATTAATGGTACCATATTTGGAACAATTTGGTTTAGGGTGAATGGATGAAGCTGGAATTTCGAAATTTTGTATTCGGGTCCCTGTTGGTGGTAGGTTTGTGATAAGGAGGTGATTTTTGAAAATATGTGCACGTAACGTACTAAATAGTACCATATTTGGTACAATTTGATATTGGGTGAACAGATAGTGCTTGAAATCTGAAATTTGGTATTCGGGTCGCTGTTCCTGCGAAGCCTGGCCATATGGAGATGGTTTGGGAAATGTGTACTATAATTGCACGAAAAGTTCGAATGGTACTATATTTGATATTAGTTAAATGAATAGGTCTGTAATCCTCAAACATGGTATTGAGGTTTTTTTTTTTGGGTATCTAAAATTGAGATATGGAGGTGGTGTACTACAATTGTACATAAAGCACTAAATTTGGAATTGGTTGAAGGGACAGTGCTGAAATCCTCAAATTTGATATTGAGGTCTCTGTTGTTATCTGGTTTTGACATAAGGAGGTTGTTTTGGAAATGTGTACAAAAGTACTAAATGGTACTTAATTTGGTATTGGGTAAAGAGATAGGACTGAAATTTTCAGATTTGAAATTGATGTAACTGTTGGTGTCTGTGGTTAAGATATGGAGGTAGTATTGAAAAGGGTACTGCAGGTACATGAAAAGTACTATATTTGGTACAATTTTGTATTGGGTGAACAGGTAGTGCTTGAAATCTGAAATTTCGTATTGAAGTCGCTGTTCATGGAGGTGGTTTCGGAAATGTGTACTATAATTGTACGAAAAGTACTGAATGGTACTATATTTGGTATTGAGTGAAACGATAGATGATGAAATTCTGAAATTTGATATTTAGATGACTGGTGGTATCTGTGTTTGAGATTTGGCAGTGGTTTGGTAATTCGACCTTTATTCGTACGAATGGTACTATATTTGGTATTGGGTAAAGGGATAGGGCTGGAATCTACAAATTTGATATTGAGGTCTCTGTAGGTATCTGGAACTGGGATTTATGGTACACATTGTCGGTATTTGGTGAAGTGATAGAGCTGAAATCCTGAAATTTGATACAGATGACATTGTCGGTATATGGTGGTGGTTTTGCAAATGTGTACTACGAATGTTTGAAAAGTACTAAATGTTACTAAATTTGCCGTTGAGTGAATGGATAGAGCTGGAATTCCCAAATTTGATATTGAAGTCTTTTTTGGTATCTGGATAACATCTTCACAACAGATCTTGCAAACATGTTTGTATGAGTGAAATTCGAAAAGAGTTGGATGCGCATTTCGCTTTCTTTGAAAGTTTTATTTTTCAAAGTCTTGAACCCAGGAGAAATGGTCCGATCTCCACCATCTTTATAAGAAATCTTGAGTTGATAGAAATATTGAGATGTGCTGAGTCTGAATGGATTCGGATGTTAATTTCGCGTTAATTTTGACCCTTTGTGGAGGAGGTAGAAGAAGGAATGGACCGATATATCCCATCTTCACACCAGACCTTGGGTCAATAAAATATTGTGAAGTCTGTAATTTGAAGAGAACCGGATTTTATGATCGTTTAAGTTATTCACAATTTTGACCATCTGTCGGGAGGTACCATAAGGAATGGTCTGATCTCTACCATTTTTATTACAGATCTTGTGTTGAAGAAAAAATTGAGATGTGCCAAGTCTGAATGGAATCAGATGTTAATTTCGTGTTATATAAGCTTCGTAAATATTCAAAATTTTGACCCTTTGTGGGAGAGGTACCAGAAAAGGTGTACCGATATATTCCAGCTTCACATCAGACCATAGGTTAATAAAATTATTGTGATGTGTGTTATTTCAAGATAAACGGGCACTTAAATCACATTTTAGAAGAGTAAAAATTATTCAAAATTTTTACCCTCTGTGGAGGAGGTAGTTGATAGACCTGACCTAGCACTGGTGCAAATATTAGGATATGCAAAGTCGGGGCAAAATTGGATTATGCTTTCTCTTTCTGTGCAGTAAATTAATTTCTTTGAAAATATCGAAATTTTGTGGGAGGGAGGGTTGGTGGGGGAGGGTATACGATAAGGAGTGGACCGATATTACCCACTTCCAAACGCGATATAAGTTTGACAATAATATTTCGATGTACTAAGTTTGGATCGGATATTCCTTTCGATAATTATCGTGCGCACTAGCCAGACAGACAGACGGACGGACACCGATAGGTCGACTCCAAATGTCCTGAAACGGATTTGGTGATTTTGATGAGGCACGTTTTGGTCGTATCAAATGGTATATACCCTCTCTAGCCATATGGCTGAGGGTATAAAAAAAATGTGTCATGTCGGTCCAATTTTTGGTATAGTTTCTATTATAACGGTAAATCCCGATTTCAAGCATTTTTTACGTTTTAGTCATATTTTTCATTTTATTTCGCTAAAACATGGTATTTCGAGTTGTTCAACATATGACCTTGATATTTTCGGTAGTGAAGTAGAATTTTGTGTTCTATAATAAAATATCTGTTCTTCTCATTTTCAATAAATATCCATTTTTGGCGATTTCATACCTCTCTGTGTCGTGCAGATATTCATTACATTCAGATGCTTATTCTTGCCATAAATTTTCAACTGCAACACAAATTGTATCATCAAAATAGCATTTGAAAACTGCCCTAATTAACCTACTCTATAAATTAAAATTCCCATTTAATTTCGATCACAATACATTGTTATTAAAATTGAAATAAAAAACAAAAATCCCCCAGTTAATCGATCTGTAGGCAATTGTTTTGCTGTATAGGCTATAATTATCTACCTAATTTGCAAACATTAAAAAAAACGTGTGTGTGTTTGCATTTAAGCTACTGTCTGTCAAAACATTTGACATTTTTGACATGTCTAATGTGGCTGTTAGATAAATAAATAAATACAACAATGAGCATTTGAACCTGTCTTGGCATTGCAGTGCAACACCACAGCCGCCGCACTTGAACAAGTGTCAAGTTGAAGTTCACAACCAACAGCAACATGTCTGATTCGTTGGTGGGTAATAAAATGGCCAACATTCTGCTGCTGATGCCGTTGCTAATCCGACAAATTACCATTGAATTGCTGCAAAAAAACGTCTGGGTTAACAAAATAGTGACGGGGTGACTAGACAAAAATTTACGATTATGCATCCGTTAGAAAAAAAAAGCACTAAACAACAACGACAACAAATAAATGTTGTAATACGTCGTCGTTGCCGCTGTTTATTTTGCAAATTTTAAAAGCTTTGCCGCCTCAACCAATAAACTATCGAAAATTGTCAATTAACAGCTTTTTTGTTGCTATTGTCATTGTTGTTATGGGATTTTTTTCTATTTTTTTTTTAATTGTTCAACGAAATCGTGCAATTTTAATAATTTATCGTTCAACGACTTGTTGCGAATTGTTAAGCTATATTTAGATGAAGTTTTGTATTGAAAGTAGATTATTAGTTAAGTAGTATTAAAGTGGATTTTTAAGTACAATTTTTTTTGTGCAGAGAATGATCAGTATTGAGAAATTGAAAAAAACCAAGATCTTTGAAAAAATCCAAGACTTTTGACTATAACATCCTCAAAACATAAATTTTTGAAAAATACACACATAAAAAATACAGAAAATCTCAAAATTATTTATTTTATTTATTTATTTCAAAATTATTGAAAGTGGATTATTAGTTAAGTAGTTTTAAAGTGGATTTTTAAGTACAATTTTTTTGGTGCAGAGAATGATGAGTATTGAGAAATTGAAAAAACCAAGATATTTGAAACATCCAAGATTTTGACCATAACATCCTCAAAACATACAGTTTTGAAAAATGCTCGAATAAAAAATACAGAAAATCTCAAAATTATTTCATGAAATCCAATATTATCAATCAAGTCCTTCGAAAGAATACGCAGACGGGAGTCCTTAAAAAATATCCTTAAACATTCAAATTTTTTCTATAAACTTTTTCTGAAAAAAAAAAACTAAAATATTCTTCTTTATTTTTTTTTAGCTTCACGATTTGAAACAATAAAAAAACAAAGTCCACAACTTTTTGTAGAGTTCTTGAAAAAGTATTTTTTTTAATTATATGCTTGTTTTTACCAGAAAACAGTGCAAAATGACATGAGGTCCTCTTAACAATTTTTTAGAAAAAAACGACTTTTTATTTTTAAACATGAACAAATATTTTGAACAGGCAGTCTTAATCGTATTTTTCACAGGAAGTCCCCGAGAATATTTTCCAAAAAAAGTTCTTTAAAAAAATTGTCTTAAATATCCTTGATTTTACATCAGCAGGACATTAAAAATTTATGCTTAACAATCTACGATATTTGGCCAGTGGAAAAATCTTGGCCATAGAAAACTCTATTCGTAAAAAATCAAGATTTTCGGTCAGTAGGTTCTTGAAAAAATAAATGTTTCCGCCTCAAAGTCTTTAAAAATTAATTTCGGTCATGAGGTTCTTTGAACCATTATTTTTAAAGAATTCTTTAATTTCGACCAGTATATCCTTTAAAGATTACTTAAAAATATATTTCTACAAATCCACGATTTTGCGTCAAGATATCCTTAAAAAA